CAGTTATATTTTAAAACTTCTTCCCTAAATTACCACATGTATTAATCAACATTCTTATATTTTACGCACATGGTTCTAAGACTCAAACTTTGTTTATCTTCCTTGATTTTTTATTTTATATATTATAAAAGAGGGAAAAAAATGCTGCATGCAGGTTTTCTAAATCCCTTCTGGCCTAAAAATCACTTTAATAGCCTAGTGTCTTTTCTAGAATATGGGAAAAACACCTGCAAATCATACATTTTTTTCAGGCATATGCTTATGTTTCACAAGACACCTGGCTTGAGCGAGCAACTGCAATTCCCTGCACTTTTCAATCTCTTTATCCTCTCGTCAACAGAAAAATAATTAAAAGCTTAGTCAGACCTGCTTCCACATTACTTTATATCTTCACAGCATCTTATCCAGATGACTAATCTATTTACTCATTCAATAGCTGTTTTGTCTGGCTCCACATTTCTTTAATATTAAAAACATTGGCATTTTTATCCACTTGACTGAAAACCATGAAAAGTTATATACACAACAACATACATGATATTTTTCATGACATTAATTAATTCCGAAAGATTTTTTTTTTAATCTATACATGTAATCTGACAATTATTGAGAGTGTCTATTTTATCAGTAAGTGCCATCAAGATGCAAAGATCAGTATTGGATGAGGTTTTCAAATGAGCATTTTATTTTCTTCTACATCTATTTTCATGCAGCCACCTTCTCAAAGTAAATCTTTTGGAGCAAGTTCCTTTGGAATCAATAGGAATGCAGGTCATTTTTACCTTTTTCAAAAAAAGATCTCTTCAAACACATATTCTGATGCATCAGAGGATCATGGAAAGAATTAATACCAATATGAAAACCAGTTTCCTGTGGTTTTTATGGAACAATTAATACAGCTTCTTTACAGATTGTGTGGGAAAAATAAAAAATTTTACTTCATATTAAGACTTTGGCAGTAACATACAGTACCCTTAACATTCCTATTCCACCTACATATAAAAAAATATTTTTAATCAACTCAGGATATTGTGTAATTTATGCAGAGTCTATTATAAATATATGCTACGGAATCGCTACCTTGATATTATGAACTGCCAGAAGACATATCATACAAATAAAGCTGGCAATCTCTCCAATTTTCACTCCATCTCTCTTTATCAAATCAGCTTCTTATTCAAGCTGATAAGCAAATGACCTGATAAGATTGGCAGATAACTGCTTTATAAAACAAGTCATAGAGAATTAAGCCTGGCAAGTGTGTAACTAAATTGATCTATGGTCCCAGGCATTGTGGTGTGGTCACCCTATTGGTTTTACAACCCTTTGGTCACACTATTGGGTTGACCATCAGTTTACAGATCATTTAACAATTTCATGGTACGTAGATCCCAAAATGCCTGGGAAATAGGTAGGCATTTGGTATCTAATCCACCTGGTACAATAAACCTCCAGAATTTAGTGAAAAATGAAATTGGTTTGTTCACTTTAGACAGTTCTCATTAGAGAGTGGAAAACTTCGAGTGCCTGTTTCCAGCATTTAAAGCAAAAATGTTTTTAATCAGTTGCCATCTATTTTGTGATATACCAAATAAATGACGTCTTTCTCCCATATTCATGTCTTCTACTTCATTAGGTGTGTACATTTAATTTAAGCAAAAATGATAACAATTTAACAAAACAAATACAGAAAAGGTAGCAGAATTCCAATATTGATTGGGGGAGGGGGTTAAATCAGAACAAAATTTTAACTGTGACTGAAGAAAAAATGATTTAGAACTTGTCTACTCCTTGATTCAAGACATGTGCAAAGCTCTACATGAAATAACAATTTTGCAGTGAAGCTCCTACAGAAATAATTTAACATTAAACCTGTTTCAACTGTAAAGCACTGTATCAAACATTTGTACAAAGTTTCATTGTTCATGAACAGTAGCTATCTCCCTCAATTTATGAGGTTCCTTTCCCCTAAATGCTGAGCATACATATTACCTATTTTCCATGCTTTTCACCCAGACTTCATTTCGTCCAAGATAAATAACTTTATTGGTAAACTCTGGTAGTTTTTATTTATATTGGAAATACATATATTTTTCTATTTAGCTTTTTACTACAGCAGATATCCCCACTGGTAGTAAATTAGTTGTATGTAGAGAAAACAGATGCTTAGCCAGCAGGTTTTTACTTCTAGACCACACCAACTCAGCATGTTACATTATTAAGCCAATTACACTGTTGGTTTAATTTTTACTTCACCTTTTTCCTTTATTTTCGATTTTCTAGGTTGCGCATTCAGAAGAATACTGCCCTAATTATCAACTGTGCAGTGTTACTCTGAGAAAAAAAAAGATTTTATTTCAAACATTTGGATAATGTTAGTTTTTCACTTTCATTCGCTCCCCACTTAAAAGTGCTAATCATGCTAATAGTGAAGAATTTTTTTTTTCAAAGGATTTATGCACAGTTGATGAAATGCCACCTATTTACACTAATTAAAAATACTATTTGACTTAAATCACTGTTGCAAAATCAAATATGATATCAAAAATTACCACAAAAAAGTCAATTTTTGTTTTTTTTAAAGGAGGTCAATTATATTTATACAAATATTTACTAATGTTCTTAAACAAATACCCCCTTCAGATGGCACGTGTTAATCATCAAAAAACTGACAGGTAATTTGGAACAACAGATAATTGTTTAGAGTTTAGGTTACAAAAAACCAGAAACATTCAGAATAGAGAGAGCGATCTTTTGGCTAAGCGAAAATGATGAAGTATGCGCAAAATGCACACAGTCGCTAAGGGCTCAACAGACTTTTCCAGATTTGTTTAACTTTAACAAACTCTGTGAATGAAAAGTTTAAATTGCAATTAAAAGCCCCCCAAGATCAAGTAGAGCGTTGACTTTCACCTCCAGAGAAAGGGGTATATCCATTCATTTTTGTCAACTCTGCGTAATTTAATAGTTTAATTACAGGCAATTACAACTTACCGACGATTCCCCATTCACAGTTCCTTGAACAATAACCAACACAAAGACTAATCCTATGAACAGCCCGTGGGGTAGCGACTTAGCAGCCGACATCCTCTGCTAAAGAGGTGCAAACTTTTTCCCCACCGTGAGGACTCTTGGCTAATATAACGATCCGTGACTTTGCTCTGTGAAGAAGAAAACAAACGTTCTCTGTTTAGTGCATTCGCCTCAAGAAAAACATCGCAGGTCTCTCTCTCTCCGCCTTCTAGCACAGAAGTGATACTCTGCAACTCTTACCGCGGTTGGTCGCACGCCCTCGTACACACACACGTGAAGTAGATTCCACCGGGTGACCTAAATAAGTTCGTTACCAAGAGTTAATTGTTTCTGAAACTTCAATAATGCAATTAACATTCTTGTCATCTTTTCTTTCTTTGTTTATTAAGTGGCAAATACTTCAAAATTACTGTTTATGAGTAAAAATATTTCACGCGACATCTAAATGACATTTGCAGACTGATAAGGTCGGTGACCGAATTACCATGATCATACGGGTAGCATTGGCGAGGCGATTTTTTTATGGGGGTCAATAACTGTAAACCAATTTTAACTACAATAGTCGTTGTTTAGGAGGGTGTTCCTGTTTTCATTTTTCATTACATAGTTTCTCCATGACTGACGCACTGCGAGCCACCACTAGACAGAAAGCAGTGAATTAGCAATGGGGTGGGGGTGGGGTGGGGCAGCCAGTAAAAAAGTTTCAGCTTACCTGAAATTTAAACTTGAGGTGAGAAAGAAATAAAGTTGTCTATATCGAAAACTATTTTCCCCTTATTTGATCATGGTGATTATTCTATAACAAAAAATTGCCTGTGTGTGCGTGGGGGGGGGGGGGGGGAGGTCTAGTCACTTTTGATATACCTGAAATATATATGAAAGCCCAAGCACTAACTGTCTAAAAGCAGTTAAAAGGCAGCTACTTTTGTTATTTATTTTTATAAAAGTGGTTCAAACTCCAAGGTCAAGAGGTCAAATTTAGTGGTACACAAAGACAGGACTTGTCACAAGGAATACACCTGTGAAATATGAAAGCCAGTGCCCCACCCACTCAAAAGCTATAAGCAAGCTTAATTTTTTGCAGACAGACAGATAGACAGACGGACGGACAGGACAAAAGCTATATACCCCCGAATCTTCGATAACGGGGACATAATAAGAAATATTTTTGTTTTGGATTTTGTTAAGCACTAAGACAGGTGCTCTTATCATAACGTCATAATCAGAGAAAGATTTCGCGCATGCATGACATTAAACTTTAATATCCCATAAGATATGAAAATGAGAAATATTGCTTTTATTAAACAAATATCTTCCTTTATGTTTTATTATAATTTATTTTATCATTATTATTTTAAATTTTTCTTATTTGGGAAAATCCCCCCTCCTCCAAATTCGACAATGATAGATCATGTCTAGCCTTGTAATAATCACCTTGACACTCCGTTTGATCGGGGTAACGCTTGACCTTTCCTTCCACTATCAGATCGTTTATTGCTTACTTAGAATCATAAATTACATTTTCATGAAGTCTGACTTCATTTGGATTGGTTGATATTACATCATAGGAATAAAAATGTAAAATTTACAACAGAGAGCGAAAATATTTTTATTGAATATCGTTGGCCTCTTTGCCTGACACCCGGAACAAATCATTCAAATAGAATTTAAAATTCTTTTAATGCACAGTTAACTGTAAAGTAAGAGATCTCCTCCATTCACCCTTTCCAAAGCAACTCTCTCTCTCTCTCTCTCTTCTCTGCGCACACCCGCATAAAAAGTCAAATTTAAATTAAGTGTTTATTGTTTGTTTGTTTGTTTGTTTTTTAACCAAAAGGCTTTATTTAGCGATCTTTGGTTAAAAATGAATTATTCAATTTCTTGAAAAAAAGGGGGGGGGGTATACAAAGAAATGAAAATCAACCGAGTTTGGTTTGGAAATTAGTTTTACACGGTTTCCGGATTGATCGTCAATGACGCTTATTTTTCACAATATTTATTTGGAGAACGTATTCATGTATTTACGATCGATGTAAACTTTTCTTTTCACATTTCGTATGTATTGTAAAATCAACTTGAACTGATTCCTTATTTTCTATAAATTCTGACATGCTTTGACGTATAATTTTTAATTACTGAGCTGAGTGAAGATGAAAGACACATTGGAAATGGATTTGAGACCAGTTACCAATCTGTATTCGTCAAGAATAGCTGAATGGAAAGACAGAGAGTTACAGCTGTCTCGATTACATGAGGAAATGTAAGAATTTTAGGGTGATTTGAGATGAAATTATCTGATAGTAGATGGATGTTAGACTGAAGGAGTGTAAATTAATTTATGATTTTATTTTCTTATACTAGTAATTTGTTTTATAAATACTCAACTGTATCTCTGAATGAATGATATTATGGTCAAAGGTGGTGAAAAATCAAGTCTCAACTGGGACTTGAACCCAGAGCCTCTGGCATACTGTGCCAACACTCTAACCACTGAGCTATTGAGACCCAACATATTGACTGACTTTCACATACCTGTGAACCTGGTGACATATTTAACGATCTTTGATTAAAAATAAATTATTAGATTTCTTGATAGGGGCGAGGGGGGGTTAAGCAAAGAAATGAAATCACGACTTTAGTTTGGAAATGCTGTGAGGCATGTCAATGACGCTTATTTTTCCAATAAGGGAATAGTGTAAACTTTTCTTTTCTCATTTCTTATGTTTTGTAAGATCAGCTTGAACTGATTCCTTATTTTCTATATATTCTGACATGCTTTGACGTATAATTTTTAACAGACAGGTGGTGAAAAAAAAATGGATTTCAGTAACCTCTGTACTCAAACCCAGCTATGGAAAACCTCTATTACATACAATTAGTTAATGTGTATTATTTTGATATTTTCTCTTCAGAAGTGGAATTAATTAGCATTTTTTTTGCCTGGTTCACACATAAAGGTTTATGTACAGTTGCTAGTATTCTCAAATCCCATAAAGCCTCTACTTTGTGATCATAATTCAATACATTTTTTTTAGGGAGAGGGGGGGGTGTAGTGGATCATGTAAGGATAACTTTATCAATAGTCTGTCTGAGAAGAGTCATGCTTTCAACCAGAATAAAAATGCTTGCAGGCAACATCTGTGTTGAACACACAGTTGTTTGCTTAAAACTGATTATTCCTATAAATGTAGTCCAACTCTTATAAATGGAAGTGAGAAAATTATTATGCCATCTATGATAGTGAAATTCTTAGGAAAACTGCATTCTTGAGAAGAAGTGTCTCTCATTTTCAATATATGGCCTCCGCTCTACTGCTAGTTGGACAGGAGGGGTACTCAGACATTTTGCCTTACATCAATGCTCTCCCCAATAGTTTGTCAATCTCTAACTACTACCTGTCTTTATTTATAGGTTTAAGATACCTAATAATATATCATTTTTGCTTGTTATTACATATCATATACATGTATACATCAATGGTTATATTGCTTAATGCTTTTTACCAGAGTTATAAGGTATAATACATGCTCATGTAACTCAACCAAATGCCTGCTAAAGAATCCTTCATTCATCCTTATACTTTTTTTCTATCATACTTAACCTTGTTCTGACCTTATTCATCTGATAAGTCAGCATATCTTCAGACCATTATTATTTTGGGTGTGAGCATAATGCCAGTTCCTTCTGATTTAAGATATACACATTTGTTTGTATTTTTTATCTCTCTTCCTTATCATATGTTCTCTAATTTTACAATAACATGATTTTTACGATTATATTGTTTGAATTTTTTGTTTACAGAGTAGGAAAGAGGGAGACTCACTTGAATTACAGTATAGCTTACTCAAAAAACAGAGCAACAAGACTCCAAACCACTGAGCTTGTAGATATAGAAAAAGCACGTCATAGGAATGAAAAATACTTACAGGTTATTAATCAATAAGAACTTAATTTCTTGTGTGTGTATTTCTTGAGATAATGGGGATGCCAGAAAAAAAGTTATGACCAATAAGACCATGACTTAAAATTATGTTTTGAAAAATACATATATTGCTATTTATTCATGAAAAATAATTTATATAAAATACTTTGCAGGTTTTTTCAAGATCACATGTACTGATGTATAAAGTTTAATTTGTATATATTTAGTTCTTATTTTATCCCACTTTCAGAAAATGAAGAGAAATAGTTTGAGCTAACAGTCTGAAAGTAAAATTTCATCTAAGTACAATAATTATCAATATTTTTAATTCAATTAAGGTATTATTTTTTGTTTATCTTTTCATTAAGGATTTAATGTCAATTGGTGAGAACTTAAAGGTAGAGGGAGACAACCCAATAAGTCCCAGACTGGCTACTCTTCAGGTGAGTGTAGATACTT